GGGGAAAACGGGGGAAAACGGGAAAAATGGGGGAAAAATGGGAAAAAACGGGGGGAAAACAGGGAAAAACGGAAGGAAAACGGGGGGAAAACAGGAAAAACACGGGAAAAATGGGAAAAACGGGGGAAACGGGGAAAAACGGGGAAAACGGGAAAAACGGGAAAAACACGGGGGGAAATGGGGGGAAAACGGGAAAATGAGGGGAAAACCGGGTAAAACCGGGGGGAAAACGGGGGGAGAATGGGAAAAAATGGGAAAAATGGGGGAAAAATGGGAAAAAACGGGGGAAAAACGGGGGGAAACGGGAAAAACGGGGGGAAACGGGAAAAACGGGGGGAAACGGGAAAAACGGGGGGAAACGGGGAAAATGGGGGAAAAATGGGAAAAAACTGAGAAAAACGGGGGGAAAACGGGGGGAGAATGGGAAAAAATGGGAAAAATGGGGGAAAAATGGGAAAAAACTGAGAAAAACGGGGGGAAAAATGGGGAAAAATGAGGAAAAAACGGGAATTTTGGGGGGAAAAAGGGAATTGAGGGGGAAGACCGGGGGGAAAATGGGGAAAAATGGGATTTTGGGGGGGAAAAATGGGGAAAATCTGGGAATTGTGGTGGGAAATCCGAGTATTTCAGGGGTTTTTGGGTGGTTTTGGGGGTTTTGGGTGGTTTTTGTGGGTTTTTGGGGTTTTTGGGTGGTTTTTGGGGGTTTTTGGGGGTTTTGGGTGGGTTTTGGGGTTTTTGGGTGGTTTTTGGGTGGTTTTTGGGGGTTTTGGGTGGGTTTTGGGGTTTTTGGGTGGTTTTTGGGGTTTTTTGGCGGTTTTTTGGCTTTTTTGGGGGGTTTTTTGGGTTTTTGGGTGGTTTTGGGGTTTTTGGGTGGTTTTTGTGGGTTTTTGGGGTTTTTGGGGGTTTTGGGGTGGTTTTGTGGGTTTTTGGGTGGGTTTTGGGGTTTTTTTTGTGGTTTTGTGGGTTTTTGGGTGGTTTATTGGGGTTTTTGGGTGGTTTTTGGGGTTTTTTGGGTGTTTTTTGGGGTTTTTGGGTGGTTTTTGGGTTTTTTTTGGGTGGTTTTGGGGTTTTTTTGGTGGTTTTTGGGTTTTTTTTGGTGGTTTTTGGGGTTTTTGGGTGGTTTTGGGGGTTTTTGGGTGGTTTTGTGGGTTTTTGGGTGGTTTTTGGGGTTTTTGGGTGGTTTTTGGGGTTTTTGGGTGATTTTTGGGGTTTTTAGGGTGCTTTTGTGGGTTTTTGAGTGGTTTTTGGGTGATTTTGGGGGGTTTTCAGGGCGCTTTCGGGGGGGTTTTGGGTGCTTTTTGTGTTTTTTTGGGTGGTTTGGGGTTTTTGGGTGCTTTTTTGGGGTTTTGGGGTGGTTTGTGGGTTTTTAGGTGATTTTTTGGGTTTTTGGGGTGGTTTTTGGGGGTTTTCTGGGTGGTTCTGGTGGGTTTTGGGGTGGTTTGTGGGTTTTGGGGTGCTTTGGTGGGTTTTTGGGTGATTCTGTGGTTTTTTGGGTGCTTTTTGGGGGTTTCCAGGGTGGTTTTGGGTTTTTGTGTGGTTTTTTGGGGTGGTTCTGGGGGTTTTTGGGTGCTTTTTGTGGTTTTTTGGGTGGTTTGGGGGGATTTTGGGGTGATTTTTTGGGTTTTTAGGGTGGGATTT